TATATATATATATATATATATATATATAATATATATATATAATATATATATATAATATATATATATAATATATATATATAATATATATATATATACATATATACATATATATATACATATATATATATATATATATACATACACACACACACACACACACATACATACATACATACATACATACATTACATACATACATTACATACATACATTACATACATACATACATTACATACATACATTACATACATACATTACATACATATATATATATATATATATATATATATATATATATATATATATATACATATTTTTATTTAAATGATTTCGCCCAGTAGTATTTACAAGTATAGTAATTATGTAAAATAAGTAATGTAAGACCTAGAGGTTTACTAGACACCTGTACAGGCTTTTGAATTAAGACCCCTAGTTGATAAAGAATTGATTAATTAAATTATTTACAGTCAAATGTTTAGAAGAAGAAAAATAATAAACGAGAAAAGTACAAAATAACTAATACCTATAATTCAAAAAAATATACTTAAAAATGTTTTTATATAGGAGAGTGATTATATTTACGATATATACAGCTCTCTGTTACAATAGAGATTTTTTTCAATTTGCTTTTGAAGACAATCGATGAATTGATTGATTTTAAATAGACAGCTTAAGATCTACGACGTCGACGCTAGCTAGGACGTCAGGGCTAAGCAGAGAACTGGGACTACATTAGGACGACATCCTAGTCCCAGTCTTCTGCATAGCCCTGATGTCCTAGCTGACGTCGACGTCGTAGATCTTAAGCTATCTAATGAGAGTCAAACTGATTCCAAATATCAACACCTTTACTAGCAAGAGAATGATTGACATAATTTGTTCTTCTATACTTTTTGTGAAGATTGGAAGCATTTCTAGTTTTATAATGGTGATTGTCACTATTCTCTACAAATAGATTATTAAATATGATTGATAAATGTTCTGTTTTGTGGTAACGATACATGAATAGAAGAGTTAAATAATCATTGATTTTGGGAAGAGTTAGTATTTTCAAATTTTGAAAAATTGGATCAGTGTGATCAAAATTTGATTTAAATGACATTAGATGCACAATTTTTTTTTGTATGCTTAGTAACTTCTGAATTCGCTTTGTATAAGTATTTCCCCAGACTAAGTTGGCATAAATTAAATATGGATAGACTAAAGCATAATACACTAGTTTTAAAGTATTCAAATTTGCATAATGTCGAACTCGGGCTGTAATTCCAGCGATTTTCGTACATATACATCTACATATACATATAAATATACATCTACATCTATAATCAGATGCACACCTCTACAATGTGCCCAGATGCACCCAACTTTATTATTTTCCTCTGTCTAACCCCAGACAATTTTACTCATCAGGTGGAGAGTGCTGCCACTCAATGGGTTCAAAAATTTATAAAATAATTTTCGTTCTAAGGTTGTGAATATTTTGCCTTCTATAGGAAATCAGGCAAGCTCAGGAAGCAGCACAACTGAAAGTGGTTAGTTTTCTATATTATTATTGTTAATTGCAATCTGAATGAGGTTTAAATCTCGGTTAACTGGGTTTGCTAGTTTGGTACAAGTAATCGTTATTAAAAAATTATCAATGATTATCTCTCTTAACCGGTCTAACCCTGTCTATGTAACTCCCCCCGCCCTTTGTCTTTTTTTAACCACACTATGTTGGTTGGTGCATACCAGATGACATCATGCACAAGCCAATAATTATCTGATCGAGTAATATTTTGTTTTAGGAACTGCAAGAACCGAGCTCAATCGCCTGTTCAACTTTACCACGGCCACAATCCAATCTTCACAAAGAAGTAGGCCTAATGAAAGGAAAAGAAAATATCAAACACGGCTCAAACTTCCCAACACTTGGACCCATTTATTTGTATGCCTTGGGAAAACAGTGGACAGAGAGACTCCAAATCAAGGTTATAAGAAGCAACTAATAAATGCTGGACTCGGTGAAAAGAAAACTGTTTTACAAAAAACAGTTCTTGCTCCTACTTCCATGAAGCACTGCTAGAGAATTTTCCAAGACTCGGTGATGGAGGTGGCTATGAACTTTTGCGCACACAACACAGGTCAACAACCAAATTGGAAATTCTATACCCAAGATATAATGGATATAATGTATTGCATTTGAAAGAAGAAATTGCATCAGCAAAAATATATATCAGACCATTACAGAGATATCTCAATCTTGAACCATTAGAACCAACTGAAATACCAAAGGTGAGTTTCTTTGAAACTTGGTTTGGGGGATATTTTCAGGCAACCTGACTAAAGTTTGAAACCTGTTTGACCAAGTGCATGCTGTTGTAAATTTTGGTAACTACAGTACAGTAGTATTACTAATAACATTCACTTGAATTTCCCAAGCAAGCACAAACTGACATACAAAACAAAAAAATACATCTTATGATAATTGTTAATGCTGCTATAAACTTGATGCGTTTCCCAAAGTATATATTATTTATTGTATTACTAAATACTGTGTCTTATATTTAAGGTAAAAGATATTGGTCCCGTGCAAAAATGTATAAACTGCCAGCAAGAATTTCCTCTCCACTTGTTCAGACAGCATATGGTCAATTGTCCTGGAGGGTCTAGCAGATCAAGTGGTGGACAAAATGACGTCTCAAGCGGTGAATCAAGTGGTGGGGAAAGTCATGCGCCAAGTGTTCAATTGATTACATTGGACGAAGGTGGACAAAGTGGTGCATCAACCAGTGGTGCAGCTGGTCAATCGAGTGATGTACGAAGTGGTGGATTGAACACAGGTAGTGATGGATCAGGGGTGGATCTAGCTTAAAATGTGACTGTATCATATTCCTAGGTCTCCCCATGCCCCCCCGCAAATTTTTTGAAATTTGAACCCCGGAAATGCCATTTCCTGCGTTCTGAGCCCATGATTCTGGCCTAAAATTTGGCCATAACAAGGTCATGTAACAAAAAAACACACAATAACTCTTCTTGGTATCAGTGTTTCTGTTTCATGAAACATGGCCGCAAGCGTTTTGACATAGAAAAGTCGGCTTTTGCGACTAAGTATATTTAATATTCCCCGCCGGTCCCTATTTAAATTAATAACATATTGCACGCGCAATGCCGCAATATGACTTTACAGATTAATATCTTCGGTTAGGCGAATGCTATGAAAACAAAAATACTACCGTTCGGTTCATTGAAAGAATATCTCCTAATTCCTAACGATAGTTTTAGTCAATATAGCGATTTATGAACTTTGAGAGGTCAAGCAATATCATATATTTCACTATATTACTCAATTTTCTCGAACAATGTAAACTAGCCATACCTTTCGCCGAACATAACTTCGGCCCCTTCGGACATATCCTTTTCGTAATAGTCTTGTTCTAATTGGCATCCAATACACTATTTATAAAGTGTTATTTCAAGGACGTCTTCTGAAATTATGTAAGGCCATCACTCACTCAGTGTCTCAGTTACGTTAGAAGAAATGCGGCTGTTAGCAGTATGAGACGAAGTTTCCGAGTGGTTCACGATTATTTCATTTCTTGCGCAATCAAAATACAGCCACAGTATCAGAGGGTATCTGACGTCATAGATACATGTCCTGTGATTGGCTGGATACCCTCCAAGGTATCCAAATATCTCATTAAGTTACTATTTTTAGTAACATTTGAACCGCGGACCGTATCAGAACACTGCAGACGCATTTAAAAACATTTTTCCGATTGGGTTACGTAACCTCGGGTTATGCCTTCGGAAAGCTCTCGGCTCATCTTCGTCGAAAGTAATTCAATGCTTTAAAAACACGTCTAATGTTATATTTAGAACTGTGAATTTTAAAATTTACGAAAGAATTTGCCCTCGTTCATCTTAGTAAACTCAAATTTTCACTATTTTTGTAAACAGAAATGAATTGCCTGAAAATATATTAATATTGAATTTTTCCCCAAAACTATTTTAGTATGCATAATCGGAAAAATCTGACCGTATCTTGAGCTACACTCGATACCCCCTGGATCCGCCCCTGATGGATTGAACATAGTGTTGTTCAATTTACTAATTTTCAGTGATTTATTTGTGACAGTGTTCCAAATAATGCAAGTTTTGACAGAAATTATGACCTTTACACTGTCTGAACCATAGAGATTATAAATAACACTAGACGGCGCATCGAGGGTGAAAAATCTGGGAGTGCGGTAATGGTTCAAATCAAACGATTAATTCCTATTGAAAAGATCAGAATTGCTGATAAAAATGCTTGGTAAAAACCAAAACAGGATTATTTAACTGCCATAAACAAGAATTGAGAGATTTTGGCTCAAACTCGCTCTTATTTTAGCATTTTATGTCCCCCCCCCCCAGAGCCGTGTTCCTTTTCTTTAACTGAATTAAGATTACGATACCCCCTCTAGTGTTGTTTATAATTTCTATGTTCTGAACAACCACGTCCTTGAATTAAAAACCAAAGCAATTGTTTGAAATTTAAATGTGAACAAATTTGGATTAAGTGACTCAAAGAGATGAAAAAAAAAAGCATTATTTAGCGTTATTTAAACTAAAAGCATTATTTAACTACAATTAACTAAGTTTCCTTGTGTGTACCTATACTGTCATGGAGTTCAACCTGGATTTTTTATGTACTTTTGTAACAGTTTCATTGGAGGTACTGAAAGAAATGTTTCCACATATTCCTGAGGCAGATCTGAAGGATGCATTTCAAAACAATTTTTTTGACGTTGACAGCACAATTGAAGAACTACTGGAAAACGCAGCAGGTAAAAGTTATGATGCACTCTGAGGAAATAAACTTGGCCTGTATGTCATGAAAATACTGCACCAGTTATGCAGGGCAACAGGTTAAACCTTGCACAGGATTGCTCTCAGTTACAGAAAATGTAACTACTGTATTGTATGTAAATAATACTGTATTGTATGTAAATAATACTGTATTGTATGTTTCACCCTTACAATTTATTTCTTGCTTCATGCAAACTGCATATACAGTACAATATAAAACAACAGTTCTGATGTTTTGAGCAATGGCATTTCATCAGAGAATTAATTGGAGCAAGCTCGAAACACTAAAATCGTTATTTTATCTTATACACTGAGTTTAACTGAACCCAAAAATGTACCTTGTATTACTGTAATACATCAGCTTTCACCATCGTCATATAATTCATTTGCGATATATTTAAGGAGGGGAAACAGAAATAAAGATCACTGGTGGTAGTATGGAAGAAATATTGAGAGCAATCACTCCTTCTGTAGCCAACGCTCCACAAAGGATCAGCATCAGCAGAGATCATCTTCTGACTGATAGCATAAGCTTTTTCAAAAGACGGGAATTTGACAACAACAGCCTTGTGAGAGTTGTTTTCGAAGGTGAACCGGCAGTGGATGGAGGTGGACCCAAAAGAGAATACTTTTCTCTTCTCCTTCAGTCACTTGTTGCACCTTCATCGCCCATAAGACTTTTCGAGGGTCGTGGTTCATTCATCCTACCAATGCATAATATGGACGCAATTCGAGCAGGGATGTTCAAGGTTGCGGGAAGAATGATCACTACAAGTGTGATAAATGGTGGTCCTGGTTTTCCCTATGTTCCTCCTGTGCTATACAATTACCTCATTTCTCCGACTGGGGAAATGGATAAGGCCCTAACCGAGATAAAGAAAGAAGATGTTGTGGACTTGGGCATCTTGGAAGCAATTCAAAAGCTATCTTTATGTACTGTAGGTGGCAGCATTTGAAGAACACTACAGGGATAGATATTTTTCAACATTCAATATTAAATTTCGCTTTTCATTGGTTTGAATATCAAAGCTAAATATTTGTAAATTGACAATTTTGCTATCTATTGTAGGGTCCAACTATACCAACTATAGCTAACCGGCCCCCAGTACAACTGGCCCCAGTACACAAGGTATATACTTACTATTATTATTCGTATTCTCATTCATATAATTGATTCATTTGTAGATAGATCATGCTGACGCTGATAACATTGAACAGATTTCTTCTGAAGTCCAAAATGCACTTATTGATTCTGGCTATACAAAAGTCCTTAACATGTCAAACAAGTTGGAAGCCATCACAGCACTATGTGTTCACTCAGTAATTTTATCAAGAAAGGCTGCGATTGATTAATTTGCACATGGGCTAAAACCACTTCTGGAACTAGCCAAGAAAAATCCGGAGACTATGATGCCTGTCTTTGTGCCTGGTGCATCAACTCTGGAGCTAAACACAGAGACATTTAAAGGTCTGCTTTTCTTTGAAGAGGTTGAAGTTAAAGTTAAGAATATGTTTTTAAAATATATAGACACAGAAGGTAAGGCAATGTTTTTATGTTAAAATTGGTTTAAATGATAAAGTTGTTTTTTCAGTGCTATAACACTTACATTTTTGAATTACATTAGCCACTTTCATTTTCAATAACAAGTTTACAAAAATTCCATGAGTGATTATTTTCAAAGGTTGCTGTTTGAACAAGTGCAATTTGAAAAACTAAATCTACTGTACTGTCAATACGTTCTTATTAATTCAATCGTACAGTACATATACTTGTCTACTGATTTTTGGTTATTTTCTTAATCATTGACGTTGGACAAGGATGCACAACAGATATACAGTATACTGTATTTTTTTTAGCTGAGAAACTGCCAGACTTGCTAATGTTTTGCACTGGAACCAACCAAATCCCTCCACTCGGTTTTCATGAGCCATCCAAAATAACAGTCATGCAGTTGGAGCCTATGTGTGGTCAGCTTTCCAATGCTAACACTTGTCCACAAGAGCTGGAACTTCCAAGTTGTCATTCAGAATATGAAACCTTTCGAGAAAGCATGAATTGTGCGTTGGTGAATCAAAGCACTGGGTTTGGTATTATCTAGGCTATGCAGTAAGTCTGGCAATGCCAAGTATACGTGGGCAGACAATATGTCAACAGTTTCTTTAATTTAAGAAAGTTCCTATTTTAATTTGTTAGGTTAGATTATGTTATGTTTATGTTGGCAATGGTATTTATGAAGTCAACCGCACTAGTCAATTGAAATCACGGTTCCCCAACCCTATGCCGTAGAGGCGTAGACCCCCCAGCAGAAACACTTTCGTGAGGGTATACAGCATAGGCTACCAACCCACGGTATGGACCTATTCCCTAATGAACAAAATTTTGATCTAGACAAGTCTAGACAAAAATTTCATCACAGCTTGAAAGAGCGTCACAAAATTAGTAATATTCGGGAGTTTCGTTGCGAAATGTTTTAAAATGCAGATAATATAGCCCTGCGAAGTTTGCCATTTTTCAGTCATTTTGTATTACGCACGGGAAATTGATACCTTTTTTCAGAAAGCGGTATCAATTTCCCGTGCGTAATACAAAATGATTGAAAAACGGCAAACTTCGCAGGGCTATATTATCCGCATTTTACAACATTTCTGAATATTACTAATTTTGTGATGCTCTTTCAAGCTGTGGTGAAATTTTTGTCTAGACTTGTCTATATCAAAATTTTGTTTATTAGGGAATAGGTCCATTACATGGGGACTAACTGTGTAACACTCATTTTATTAAGCCTCAATTTCTCAGTCAAAAAATGTTATACAATTGTGGGAATACCAAGATCACCAGGCCAGAAAGCTTTCCTTGCATGATATCCACATAACCCACAAACACTATAATATGCAGTAAATTAAAAAACTCATGATCAGGTGCTGTCGAAGAATGTGTTCGAACTAGTTTACAAGCTCCACGAGGGTACAATCCCACTGACTGAGGTGTCTTTAAGTAGCAATGTTCTAAAACCCTGAATTGGTTCCCATATAAATCCTGCTAAAACCAGTTTATACCTCGAGGTGGGGGAACTTTCCATTTACTAATGCATTATGATGTGCGAACCTATTCCTGACTACTTTAAGGTTACAGGACACCCTTTTTGGCGTTTTGTGGAAAATCTCTACTACGTGCTCAAAATCAGTCCGATTTTCATCAAATTTCACCAAATGTTAGCCAGTGCATGCAAAATATGATAAAGTTGTAAAATTGACAAACAATAAAATAATGTAAGAATTATTCAGGAAAAACTTAAGTCTTGGAACCTTTACGCTTTTGAGTTATGTTCCTGCTGGTTTTAAATTATATTTATGAAAATATCATTTTTATACAGTAAAATAGTTGTTCTAAAAAATTGTGTTCGGAAATTTTTGTTTACTGTATTTCGTCATTCCGCTGATATGGCGATTTCGTTGACGACTGCAATATATTTCTGAATCGTTTGTTTGAATTGCTCATTATTATTAAAATATCCAAAATTAGAACAAAGCCGAACACAATTTTGAAACTGACGTCTTTAGCTATGTCCTGTGAAAGTTTGAGAGAAATTCGTTAAAACCCGCAGGAGCACAACTCGTTTAAAAATCAGTAATTGCCGTAAAATTCTTCGGGAGAAAATTGAATTTGAATATTACATTTTCAATGTTTTTCTTATTGCAAGTGAAATGTATTTTATTAAATAACTCTGCGAGTTTTCAACATTTTTCATCCAAACTTGGTCAGATAGTAGAACCATGGATAATAAAATAAATATTTATTTATATAATATTTATTTTATTATCCATGGTAGAACTAAACTAATGCTTTCATCGAAACCAATAAAAAAATTTTAGGCAAAATTAACACTCAAAGGTGTTCTGTAACCTTAATAGACCGGAATCCTCGTTGGTATATTTTATTGTTATTCAGGTGGATTTTATTGTGTTAGAGATCTAATATTAAAAAGGCAAAATAAATTGTGACTTTAATTATGATCTTACTAGTTACTAACTGGATTGATCAGACCTACTCTGAACACAGCACATATTGCATTTGTCATAAGCCAAGTTGTTTTAAAAGACTAATTCCTGGTAATATAAAACATCATAAATTTCAATAAAATTAAGTAAAATAATACATTAACCCATTAAGCTGCACAGCTTCCCCATTGACAAGTAAAATCGTCTGGTGTTAGACAAGTAAAAAAGAAGTAGGGCACACTGGGGTGCATTGCGGCTGATCATTGGGCTAACTAGAGACATTGTCAGATTTTTTGGTTAACCCATTAAGCTGCAGAGCTTCCCCATTGACGAGTAAAATCGTCTGGTGTTAGACAGGTAAAAAAAAAGTAGGGCGTACTGGTATGGGGCACATTGCGGCTCAATAGGTTAAACCTTGCATCAAATAAGAATGCTCCATCCGAACAACATCCTTGTGATGTGATTCTGGATTAAGTAGAACAGATATTAATTTGTGCAAAATTTGTCTTTGGTGGAAGGATAATCTTTGATTGACAAGTCATTGTTGTTTGCAGTTTTGCCCTTCCTATTTCTTGGATAGCATGTGTACATGTACCTGAAGAACAGTACATAGGAACTGCATATTATTCAATTCAGGTTAAGTAGGAAGTTTCGTACTTGCATGTATAAATCAATTCCATAACAATCACTGTCTGCCAAGGGTTGCACTAATGAATTCAGATGCATTTTCTGAGTTTCTGTCATTTCAATTTCAGTGTTTGGGACTTCAACATGAGAATAGTCATTGTCATCACTGTTCGGTACAGGACCATCCCAGTCAATCCCATATTGCCTTTCATCTTCCTAAGTAAGCATGCAATATTTTTTATTATTATATGGCAGGCATCACTTCCGATGAAATGGAGGACTGTGATTGGCTGAGAAGCACTTTCAGTGGTCCATTTATTATTTTCCCATAATGAAATGTCAGTCCATTACGTAAAACAAACGCATGCATTTAAAAACAAAACAGCAAAACTAGTTGAAAATTTGAAAATTATAATTTAATTTGTTATTAATAAGATATCTGCGAATGGTTTTTAGTGGAAAAGAAGGAATACGTTTGTATTTTTTGTTTTCTTTGACCAAATGTGTACCATGCTACTAATATGCATTTCAAGTTATATGTTTCCTTGTTTGTTTCAAGAAAACAGTAAATGCCTATAAACGCCATATAATAAACTTTTTATTAACCTTGCTTGCTCGGTGTGCACAGAGAAACATTGGACCTGTCTTTTTGTACCTCAATCTGTAAAAAAAGACTTTGGCCTGATATTTCTCTGTACAGACCTCGCGTTTGGTTAAGTAATGATCTATTAACATTGTGTTTAATGTATACATACACCAGGTTTTAGACATTTGTCAAAAACATAAAAGGTGTATTTGAGTCTCCAACAGCCAATAGACCTTATGTATAATGACGTCACAAGGCTTGATGTCCATGAGAAATGCTGGTCTTAGTATTCATCGCCCAGGAAAATTAAACAATTCAAAATGGCCACTATCGAAATTTGGTTATCGACTTATCGTTCCATGTTTCGTGCAGCAATATAGGTTAGGGTTAGTAGTTAGGGCAGGGTTTTAATAGGGTTAGGTTGTATATATATTATGTATATGGAGGTTCCAGTTGTCTTTGCAGTACACAGTACACTATAGTATCCATTACATGACGTTTACTATATCTATATTATAATAGTTTTGTTTGTGGAAACACCACGTAAATTTATTACTGCAAAGCTTTCGATCTGTAAGCCCGGATCTACTAAGACCAGCATTCCTCGCGGCTATCAAGCTTTGTGACATCATTATGCATAAGGTCTATTTACCTAAAAATTTGCAGTTCATTTCATGATGAGCACTATTGGGACAAGATGGCTAGTTGAGTTTTTAACATTACACAATAAGCATATTAAATATAAATACAGTCAATTTAAAGGAAGTAAGATTAACCAACCTGATTTAGATTTTCAAATGTTTCTGAAGCTATAATTGAATCTGAACTACGTATCCTTAGCAATCCTTCGGTAAATTGTTGAAGTGGAGAAAGACTTCCAGCAGTTATCATTCTATGCTGATTCCATCCTTTGCTCCAGACATCAATGTGGCGATTGATTCAAGGAAGAAAGATCGTATGGAGAGAAAATACATCAATGTTGCTTAATGGATCAAGCACGCCACATTCTTCAAGATGATTAAACAATGAATGGTACAAAGAAAGAACACCAGTATACACATCTCTCCAAAGCCATTCAATTCTTTGATTGTGAGTGCTGCTACCTGTAATGACACTTCCTCGCCCTGTACCCCTTCGTGGATGCTCAAGCATGTACATTGCTGCATCTACATTTTCACCTCCTTTATCAGTTCGAATTCTAGATGGTAGGCCAAATTTGGCAACAGCTTCTTCAAATAGTTGAAAAACAGTTACAGCTCGGTTGTTATTAGAGCATCGCAGAAATACAACCAAGCGTGAGTACCCATCAATAGCACCATGTACAACAAGTCGCCACCTAAATTGTACTGCAAATTTACATACTCTATGCACATGTAGGCTCCCCTCTCCC